AAAATACACAAACGACTTCCCGCGGCTTGTTTCAAGATTTTTACCGGGCCACGAAGATTCCACGCGCGAGTCGCGAGGATGACGTCTGAGCTATATAAATTTTTTAAACTGGACTATAACTGTAAGGAGCGACCTTAAAGCAAAATTAGGTTATTTTTTCGTATTTTCATATAGTTCCTCAAGATCTAATGAATCAGCATCCAGTAATTTTGTCATGCTAATAATAAATTCGGTTACTTGATAAGTAACATTTAAAGTTTTACGTGCGTATACGTACGTATGAAAAACGCAACAGTGGAAATCAGCCTTAAGTTGACTTAAAACTTCGACTTTTCGCTTTTTAAACAAGTGTACAAGTAAATATAGACAACAAGACGCCGAAATTTTGTTTCACTTGATCGCTTTGATCAGTAGAAGTTAAAATTCACCTGATCGCTTTGATCAGTAGAAGTTAAACGCGCTACTAAACGGGCTTTGTGCAACGCAGTTTTATCTGGCTGTTAATTAACCGTCGGATAGGAATTTATATGTCGGATATCGGCTAAACACCGTTTAAGTTAAACACCTTTCTAACAAAAGGCGCCAGGCCATTCCCAGTATAAGCCCCCCCTCCCCCTCAAGCCCATTAAGAAATTCTTATGATCGAGGGTTTATATCCGGGCGTTTACGGTATAGGAGGATACGAAAAATACCGAGTTATTACTAGTTACTTACTACAAGATGATGCCTTACAAAACTGATGCCTTACAAAATACCTGAAGACTAACAGTTTTACAAAGTGCAAATCAATATAGTATACAGTATACCATGTATTCTCTTTGAAAAATTAAATTTTAAAAATGCGGAAGTTTCTGCTAGATTTAACAAAAAAGCCTGACTAGCCTCGTTTTGGTGCTTTTTGCACATTTCAAAGACGAATAATTTCATTTGCATAGATTGTTTCAATCTTAAACTGTTACACTTTGTTTCAAATAACAGTCTGTGTTGAAAAATTGTTTATTTAGCCTGGCGATACAAAAAATTGAAAACAACGCAAAATTGTGGTAGTTATAGTTTTCGAATCGACCAATGCTTTAGCTTATCCATACCTCACGTACAGTATGGTAATTTAGCATGGGGTAATACTGGGGTAATTCATATCCATCAAAAATTGAAAAGTTATTAAGAGTGCCAAAGAAAGAGTATTCAATGAATAAAATTCATATCATAGACAGAACATATGCAGAACCCACTATTCAATGATGTAAAGATTTTAAATACTTTCAAAATAAACGGTTACCTAACCAGCTCATTTATGTACCGTTGCAAATGTACTAATGATTTACCTGACGTTTTTAATGACTTTACTTTACACAAAAATAGTAAGTAAAATAATCTGGCGTTAGACAGAGTAAAACAATAAAGTAGGGCCCACCAGGATGCAATGTAACTTAATGGGTTACTCAGCTGCATGTTACAGTTCAATGCAATTAATCTCGACACAGAACGTGTCATATACGCAGTCGCGGATGAAGGTCTATATATGACGCCGCATTTTCGCGGATACAGAGTAAAAAATAGCCTGCACGCAGGCAGACTCCGTAAGATAGTTAGCCTGCAATCTAGGTGGTATGAGCAATTTAAGTATATGTTTTGAAACTGTGGGGGTCAAGTGTTGGAAGTGGCGATGCATACAAAATTTTGTTGAAGGTAGAAACCTTCAACAAAATTTTGTATGCATCGCCACTTCCAACACTTGACCCCCACAGTTTCAAAACATATACTTAAATTGCTCATTGTTCTTAACAGGCACTCTATCTAATGTAGCTAGGAAAATGTCTAAATCGATTGGTATAGTCAAAAAAGCAAGTTTTTGTCTTTCTAATTCATCATTAATTACGTTATATTATTCTCTTGTTTACCCATATATGCAATATTGTATTTTAGTTTGGGGATCAACGTACCCATCGAATTTATATCGTATTGTGTTGCTCCAGAAACGTATTATCAGAATTGTAGACAAATCGGCATATGATGCACACACTGAACCTATATTTAGGAAACTAAAAATTTTTCCATTTGATAAGATTCATTTCATTTGGGTATGTTGAATAATGCTAGATTAGATTACTAACTTTAAACCTATCTTATTAACATTCATATTTCTAGGCTAGTTTTGGGTTAGCTGTGCCTCGGTCACATGACAGTTGGTTTGGCGCACTTTTATATGTTTTTAGAAAAACTCGAAACATAACGCTTTCTAATAGTTTTATACACAATAATATTCAACCAAACAAACCTGGTCCTCGTCTTTTACGACATTATTTGGTGCCGTGACCAGGATGAAAGAAACTCAAATAATTCAGCGCTCACGAAAGGGACACAGAGCTCATTTGACAAAGGTTTTAAACAAGGCTACAACAATTATGGAGAATGACGAAGCCCCAAACGCCATGCAGATTGCTTCGCTCACCGCTACTATTGAACAACTCGCAAGGAAAAGAACCGTATTGAACGAACTGAACGAAAAACTCTTAGCTATGGTCGAAGATCCCGACGGACTCGAACAAGAAATCATGGAAGCAGAGGATATTGAATGTGAAATCAACGAGAAAAGTGCTCAGATAAGTGCCTTTGTTTTGTCTTGTAATACTGTTAAGAATCCAGTAATCTCACAAGTTAATGCACCCCAAGTTATTACATCTCCACTACAAGTTAATGCACCCCAAGTTATTACATCTCCACAACAAGTTAGTGCACCCCAAGTTATCACACCTCCACAACAAGATAATTCAGCACAAACCATTCCATCTCAACAAGTCAGTGAATCACAACCCACTACATCCTCAACACTCGAAGTAAATCCATTGCAAACCCCACCATTAAACCAAGAACAATCAGTCACTGTTACCGAATCCGAAGGTGTTAGTTCAATGAATACTAGCACTAATACTGGTAATCTTCCAATGAACTATCAATCCAACCCAGTATCACCATCATCTCAACCACACCTCACCCCAACCCCAAACCATGTGAGTCGTTTACCCAAATTAAACTTACCAACGTTTTCTGGAAACCCCTTGACTTGGAACACATTTTGGGACTCATTTAATGTAACTGTAAATTCAAATCCGAATCTTGAAGGGGTACAAAAATTTAACTATCTAAGAGCCCAATTATCTGGAGATGCTGCCAGAGCTATAGCTGGATTCCCACTTACCAACAACAACTATAAACAAGCTGTAGACCTTCTCAAAACTAGATTTGGAGAACCTCAAAAGATTATTAATAATCACATGCAAGCTCTATTGAACTTACCCAACCCATCCAATGACCTAACTAACCTACAGCAATTCTATGATTCTATGGAAACCCATGTAAGGGGTCTTGCTTCCCTTGGTAAATCTCAGGAATCATATGGAGATCTTCTCGTCCCCATAATCCTTGGCAAACTACCCAATAATCTTAGACGAAACTTAGCTCGAGAACACAGTAACCCGGAATGGACATTTTCTCAATTAAGAGACTCCATTTATAAGGAAATTAAAATTCTGGAAGCAGGGATACCCAGTTTGGAAAATAGAATCACACCTGAAAATCACCATGCTTCTATCACATCATCATTCCTATCACACAATCGACATGAAACACTACCAAGATATGTTCCACCCATTCATCCTAAACCGAAGAAATGTGTTTATTGTAAGAATGAACATTCATCTAATGAATGTCCTACAATCAAAGATTGTTCAAAACGTTGGGCAATTGTAAAGGAACAGAAACTTTGTTTCAATTGTTTGGGTCACCACAAATCCTCAGCATGCCTGTCAAAGTTTCGCTGTCGTTCATGTAAGGGAAAACACCATACCAGTCTCTGTAATGAAGGTCAGCCAAAACCTGAAATACCTTCACCAGCTGCAAACGTTACTGGGAACACCTCGGGTACTGTTGTCCACACCACTATGACCCCTATTGCCCCCCTAACTAATCCCACCCACACGGAAACCTTGCTCAAAACAGCCATAGCAACAGTTGGTAATCAGACCACCTACTGTGAAGCAAACATTCTCTTTGACGAAGGAGCACAAAGATCATTCATTACCAAAGATTTAGCAACCCGCTTGCAACTACAACCCACAGAAAGAGAATTTATCAGTGTATCTGGCTTTGGTGCTCAAACTTCAGCTGCAAGGTCCCTCGAGTCCACCATCATCAACCTTAAGACCATTACCAATGATGAAATCCCACTACGCGTACTAATTGTTGAAAGAATAGCAACACCACTTCAACTTCGTTCACATCACCATATCAACAACATCCCCCATCTGAAGAACCTTCAACTTGCACACCCTGTAACAAATGATGAGAATTTTGAAATTTCCCTCCTCGTTGGAGCCGACCAATACTGGGACATCATCGAAGACCAAGTCATCCGTGGAAATGGGCCTACTGCCATGAAATCCAAAGTTGGTTATCTACTATCAGGTCCGCTAAAAACTGACCAACCAGTACATTCGATTGCAAATTTTCTCCAGATATCCTCAGATGAGTACGACCTACAACGATTTTGGTCTCTAGAGTCATTGGGAATAACACCACCAACTGAAAATGATCCTCATAAACAATTTCTCGAACAGTATCAACAATCATTCATCAGCCGTGACACGAATGGCAGTTACATAGCAGGATTTCCGTGGAAACCAGAACACCCACCTCTCCAATCTAGCTACACGGTATGCGAAAGGAAAACAAGATCGATGGCACGTCGCCTCAAACAAACACCGGAACTGCTCCAGACATATAGTAATATCATCACCGAGTATGAAAGTCGTGGATTTATAGAGAAAGTTCAAACAACTCAACACTCAGATAAAGCTCATTATATTCCCGAACAAACGATAAAGAAAGATGAACTAGTTATGGTCCACGATGATAAACCCAGAAACACATGGAAATTAGCAATCATAGAAGAACTTATTCGAGGAAACGATGGATTAGAAAAGATGGGTTTGCGAGCCGCAAACATCCGCACAAAAAATGGTCGCACGAACAGACCAATCACCAAATTATACCCGTTAGAGATCTCCGCAGAAATTAGCAAAGAACAACAGAAACAATCGAATGGCGCGGAAGAAACCGACACGCGAACAATTGCTGAAAACAATTCATCACGACCAAAGAGAGCGGCGGCTCTAAGAGCAAGAAACACAATTTCAAAATGGGTCGAAGAACTTTCCCCGGCCCCGGAGGATGTTGAATAATGCTGGATTAGATTACTAACTTTAAACCTATCTTTATCTTTAAAGCAGATCATTAACATTCATATTTCTAGGCTAGTTTTGGGTTAGCTGTGCCTCGGTCACATGACAGTTGTTTTGGCGCACTTTTATATAGGTTTTAGAAAAACTCGAAACACAACGCTTTGTAATAGTTTTATACACAATAATATTCAACCAAACAAACCTGGTCCTCGTCTTTTACGACAATTGCATCGGAGCGTCGCGATTTTCATACCGGATTCGGTTGCTGTTTACACTACACCACAGTAATCCAGTAGGCGACGCGGCGTAGAAATCAGTCCGCTTTGGAGGTGATATGAAAAGTAATCTGGTATGTGCCGAAGCAGTGTAAGTAGGCCAATCCGGTACGTTTCGGTACAAATCGATTTTGGCGTGTACGTTTTACCATTGTTGCCTTTATTTGCTCCTTTTTACAATACTTTAGAGCTGTCGTTTGTTTTGCCTTACAACCATTTACTACGTCTGGCGAAGACAAATAAAGAAAACGATAATAACATTGACTTTTCGCTTTTGATAGGGCAAAATTTAAAGAAATACTCGTCAATTTTGGATTAGAGCGAAACGAAGCAATGTCTGGTAGTCAAGCTTTTTAAACAAAGTAAAGTTATACTTTACAAACAAAACGTGTGTTACTTCTTGTTTTTAATAAATTTTAGTATAAAAATTATTACGATATAGAGACATGATCAGCTGGCAACAGAGTGAAACGGCATGCATAGTGTAAACACCCTTGTTTTTTTTTTACTTCGGAGTGAAAATTAATCCGGAGTGAAAATTAATCCGGTATGAAAAGTAATCCGCTATATAGTGTAAGGCCTTTATTTCGCACGGTCAGATAATTATTATTACGTCATCCAAATCTTACTTGGGTAAGTTCCTTTTAACCTAGATTAATTCAAAAACGAAAGTTCATATACTTACAGTTTGAACATTTAGTTTGAACAGTTAGAATAGTTCAGTTATAAACATTCTTAAAATTGATCGACCAAGCATATATAACCGACTCAACATGAACGAAGCCTTCGAAAGACAATTTTGCACCGGCTGTTTAGGGTCACAAATCACCACAAAAATTGGATTCCCCAACAAAATATGCTGCAGTAATAATTTGATTTCCTCTATTACCACATATTTTACAATGTAAACTATTACTATCGATTATTTCAGTGCAAAACAAAACAAAACAAAAAAATTCCTTTTAAAATGTCGTCTGATAGCTTCAATGAAATGTGAAATTCAAACGAAAAATGCTAGGTAAGTACTTCTTCATTTTTTACAAAACAAAAGAAATTTAATACCGACTTAAAAATACTTTGAAATTTAATGTAAAACAGCGATATTTCGTTGGCACAACCTGTAACATGAATTTTGAACGAGCGAAAATTGTGTTTAAAAATAATACAAAGTTTACGCTTCGAAATGATGGTCATAGAAAAATGTGATTGCTATATTTATCTG